CTCCAAGGCGGACCACAGGCCGGCGCGGAGCTGGATCTGAGCGCGCCACGCGGCCCGGCCCGGCGCGGCGCCCGTCCGTGGCAGTATGACTCGGACGGGCGCTCTCGCCGGTCGGCCCCGTTCGCTCGATCCGCGCGCTCCTGCGACCGCGCTCCCGCCCCGAGAGCTCCGCGTCCTCCCGGCCGCGCGCTTCACCTTGTGCACCTCCTCGTCGTCGTCCTCCTCGGCGGCGAGCTGCAGCCGGGTGCGTGTGCCCCAGCGTCCCCCCCCCCCCCTCTGCGTGCTCGTCCCGATGGCGACGTCGCCCGCGGGCGGGCCGACGACGCCGGCCCAGCGGTCGTGGTGACGCGACGCCTGACATGTCGGTGCGCCGTCGTCGCCGTCGTCTGGAGGGTCGCCGTCATGGTTGGTGACGCGCCCCCGTGCGCCCCCGGACCCGCCGCCGCCGCCCGTAGAGAAGCACACGGAGCACTTTGTGGTGGAGCAGTCCAGGAGCGTCCGTCACCCGGCCGACGAAAAGCACCGCACGTCAGCGCCAGCTCAGGTAAAGCAGACAGTCATTCCCTCGTCAAACGGTCGCCCCCCCCTCTCTCTCTCTCTCTCTTTCTCCTCACATTCCGTGAGTGGAACGGGATGATAAGATGAAGACGGAAAGGTAGCCTCGTCACCTAGACTCGTGCAACGAACACGTTGCGGCGGTGGCGGTTGCACTGCAGGGATCGTTTTCCCCCTTCGTCAGATGCTTGCCGAAACGCCCGGCCAGGCCTCGTCGGACTCTTGCACACGTGAGTGGGCGTGATGTCACGCGGGTGGCGGTGGAAAGGGCCACCAGGACGCCGTCGACGGCACGTGTGTGCGCCATCGGCGGCGTCCGGTTCCGGTCCCTTTTACTCCTCTTCGTCCGCAGGGCGGGTCTTTGCCCCCCGCCTGCGGCTCCGCTCCGAGGCGGTCTGACTCTGACCCACATCCGCGGTCACGAGGCGTAACGGCATGCCGATCGGGTTTGCCTAGCTCCGGCGCCGCCTGTCGTTGGCTTGCAGAGCGCCACGACGCCCGGTGCCGGTGCCGTCCCTGCCGCCCGGGAAGTTTGAAGGCGGCCAGTTTAAGCACCGCTTGTATTGTGAACCCCCACCAGCCCCGATTATTTAGTCGAGGAACAAAACCTTGAGCAGTGGCCTGATGTTCGATGATAAACACACTCAAAGGAACGACTTTGCGAGCGTCCGTGCCGTTTTCGTCTCTCGAAATAGAGGTGCCTGTCGTCAAGGTTGCACACTCGCTGAAAGCAAGAGCGCGGGCTACCATTTCCTCCCACCCCCTCCTCACCACCACCACCACCACCACCACCACCACCACCACTACTACTATTACCACCACCACCACCACAACAACAACAACAGAAATTGCTCCAAAGTCGTGTTTGAGTTGGTGGGGCTGATGAGCTGATGGCTATGATTCTCAGTGCGTGTTGATGATTGCTCCTCGTCTGTATGGCATAGTTTTTGAATACTGCTATCTCCCTCCTGTTTCCACGCCACGCTCCGCCACCGGCCACTCTGGGCAAGTTGACAACTTTTGGGATCCCATGGCTCGAAATGTTGTGCGCACTGTGCGCAGCACTCAAAACTCCACAGCATTTGCTGACCATTTCGTGAGAGAGAGAACGCAGCAGAACGCAGACGCTACTGTACATAGGAGGGCCTGTATGAATATTCGAATCTCGAGAAACTGTTTATGCCAGTATTTATTGTAGTGATGTCCTACGAAACGACAGACGCTGAGAGTTTTTCAATAACCTCAAAACTTGTAATATTTTTTCAGTTTTATTTTCCACTGTTTGCGTTCTGATTTCCCTCGGTTGCGGCGCCCGCCAGTGACGTAAAGTGACGTCCTCCTCCCACCCCCGCCCGCGCCGCCCCGTCGGGTAGACCCCACGAATAGCGGTCTAATGACCAAACACATGCCGGGGATCGGTTCGTGCGGCGTGATTGGCTGTGCTTGGACAAATATTTTGGCATTTCGCCGAAAAAAATGTGCGAGGGATTCGTTGGGAATATATAATGAACAGTGATATTTCACCAGATGTGTTTAACATTAAGTGTATTGCGAGGGAAGTGTTTCGTATTTTATGCGAATATTGAGGCTATGCCCGGCTAATCTGATTCTGGAAACTGATGTTGCGCACAGCCTCTCGGCTCTGGCCACCGCATTGCTCCTGGGTCCAGACACTCTCGCCTTAGGCGGGGGACTCTTATCAGAACTCTTGTGCCCGCGCTAGCAGCCCCTGTTGGCCCATGTGGCTCGTCTGTACGTTCTCCAGTGTGTCAGCTCGCCAATCTCCTTTTTTTCCTTTTCCGTTTTTCTTTCTTGTCTGGTCGAGTATCATTTGTCAAGAGGACGATTGCTGATGATTTGGACGAATGCGCGGGCATTTGACCTATCACTTATTGAATTATTCCACTTCATACGCAGCGTCGCGGTGGTGGGCGAAACGTGGCGTCTGTCCTGGCCTGACCCCAGTTGGTCTGGGCGCTGGCTGCGTTGCCTCCGAAGGCCGCAAGCGTGGCTTATATCTGTAGAGGTGCGTTTATCGCACACAGCTACAGCTATCCGTCGCCGCATACGTGGACTCTCGGGCACATCAGCTAGCGCTCACTAAATCCGTTCGGCAAACAATGGGCGTGTGCCCCCCCCCCCCCCAAACTCGCGCCAGCCGGCAGTGTGTGTACAGCTTAACGGAGAGGATCGGTGGCCTTGAACACCATCATCTAGCAGAACCCCGCGCGGTTCAAAAATAGTGCCAATGTTAACCCGTGAAAGCATAGCGCGGGAGACCGACCGAAACCCTGATCAGAAATGCTGCCACACAGTTTTGACCAAATAAAAAATGACATGGCCAATTTTTGTGGCCTGTTCTGTGCGAACCTAGCCATAGGAGACCGAAATAAATGGAACACAGTGAAGAGGAACATGCATAAAAAAGATAGAAACGTAACGTGGCTAGACAGGCACACAGCCGGGCACACACGGTTATAAATAAACGCTTGTTGTCGGTATTCGTCGCGGGGCTCTGTGGTGCCTTGCGGTGGGGCGGGGCGGGGCG